CGAAGAACTGTTGAAGAGGTATGGTGGCTTTACCACAGCGCGTCAATACCAATTGGACCAACACACTGTCTCTGTGATGCCACAGAACATTAATGAGGAGTAATTGAATGAACCAAAACCTAAACAAATAGTATTTCCTTTTTATTTCTAAAGTCCAATCTTTGAAACCAAACAATGGAAGTGATCAACTCTCTCGTCTCTGAGCTCGAGCGTTCTTTGTCTTTCATTTCCAAATCCAATCATTGTCTTTCTTCCTCACAATTTGCAGATTTCACTCTCGATCCAGTTTTTTCCTTTCTTAACCAACACGACTTTTCATCTCTTTCCCTTGACAAAGTCCCTTCCCTCCGCACGTCTTTCGAAGCGGCGTCCTCTGTCTTCGACTCGTTCCGACAAAAGCTCCAAACAGTCGACGAACTCTTTTCAACAATTTTAACAATTTCCCAAGCTTCTCGCGATCTAATTACTTCCGAATTCGCCAAATTGAATACCCTGGGAACATCCCTTGATACCGCAGAAAGTGTTTTACTTCAAAAAGAGTCCGAAATTTCAAACAGCCAGACAATATCAATTAACGTCTTTTCAAACCCTCAAAAACAAGGCGATTTCGAGGAGGAATTTGCGCATCAGCTGTCAAAGAACACACACATCAAAAAGTCACAAGAAAAGCACGTCCCAAAAGGAAATCAACCATTTTGCAGGGTCGATGGACGTGCAATATCACTAAAAGACAGTGATATAGAGGATATATACCTCATTAAAGACGTTGAAAAATGCCTGCTTGAGTGGTGTAGAGGCGTGACTTTGGAACTTCTCTATGACTCAAAAGTCGACGGCGACAAACAGAGCGATTTCCTCCCTAAAATCCGCGGGCGGAAGTCGCTCTATTTCATTATTTTTGATTCAAACCTCAATGTCTTTGGCGTTTATGTCAACACAACTATTGCGGCAGAAAACGTCCGTATACAAGACCTTTCCGGCTACTTGTTTAATTTAGTGAGAGCCGGGGATGTGGAGGCGCGTAAGTACTTGCGCAACAAGACCGCGAAATGCGGTGTTCTTTTCTTCAACGACAAAACAGAGCATTCTCCTCGACTCTTTGACTTTGGAAAGAATGATGAGAGTGGCGTATTTGTACTCAGAGAGGGCGTTCAAGGCGGGACTGTTCTTAACATCGCCAACTCTTATTATTCCTCCCAAAAACATCGCTTAAATGTCCAGTCGTTCGTCACTCGGCGAATCTTAACTTTTCAAGTTCTATTTTGAGTGGTTTGACGTTTTCACATTTTGTTGTATGTCGAAAATTGTATTATAAATTGTAATTTATTTTAATATAAATATAATACAAAAATACATTAAACTAATCACTCATTTTCTCGCAATTAATTGTGATTGTGTTGTTGGAATAAAGAAACTGAAAAAAGGTGAAAAAACTGGAAAAGTGTTGAACCATGTCGTCCGAAGTAGCCAAAGCTGAAGTCTTTTTTTACAAAGTTTTTGGGAACGGTCGCAGTGACGTTGATGGAGCCGAGTTTATCTCTGGGTTACAGCAGCACTATAACATAGAAAATAAAAAGTACAAACAAGTCTTTGAGTATATCTTTTACTTTATAACCGGACAACGAGCTTCCGAGAAGACGAAAGTCTCGAAGAAGAAATTTGTTGAATTTTATAATTATCTTCCCGTTTTAGAAATCCCCGACGTCGAACGGATTTTATCTCTTGTGTTATTTAAAATGATAGATAAAGATGGGAATGGAACAGTGGACGAGGGGGAATTTGCTAAATTCACTGCTTTAATGCAAAAGGCTGGAATAAAAGAAAAACATAAAGAAGGAGATTTTGCTTTTTCGGCTATTAAAACGCAGACAGATAAAACTATTACTCTTGAACAATTCCACCAATGGTTTAGAACTAAAAGTTGGGCTTCTGATTAACTTTTTTTTTTGTGAAAGTTTTTGTCTTATTTATTTTGAAAAAGTAACTCGTTATTTTTAAACAATTTTATGTTCAGAAATGGAATATTTTATATACGTTAATTTATTTTTTTTGAAATATTGGAATAATATATGATAATAGTAAAATAACCATTTTAATTATTCAAATTAATTAAATTAAAATTATAAATTATTGTTTATTTAATTATATTTTAATTAATTATATTTTAATTAATTATATTGTTTCAAAAATCATTCAAATTTTTATTTGCCATTATACAAAAAACAATATTTTATATTTAAAAACTATATTATTAAATAATAATTATTACGGTCTGTTCAATAAATTACACAAGATGTGATTTGTTAAGATCGCATCTAAAAAATTGTTTTCAAGTTTTAATTGATATATTTTGTTATACTTTTTGTTATAAATCTTTTATTCTTAAATTATTTTTTCCTTATAATTGAATAATAAATATTTATTAATTTTTATTAGTAATAAGTCAAATCAAATTTTTTTTGATTTTTAAAGAATTTTGGAAAAATAAATGAGTTTTTGACATAAATAAATACGTTAAAATTGGCTAAAAAAACGGGATTATTGTCACAAAAAAAAACACATAAAACATTTTTGTTTATACAACATTTCAATAACAATTCGTTAATAATTGACAATGAATGTTATTAATAACTAAATTATAATATTTATTATTATTTAATTATGGAATAATCAACACAACATTTTTTCTTTTTTTACATATTCAAAACTAAAAGCTAATAATAAAACAACCACAAAAGTCTAGTTGAAAAGAGGACAAACCAAATACTTGGAATCATTTAAACACTTGACTCAACCACAAAGAAACTAACAAGAAATTATAAATAAACTATAAATAAACTATACACGAACCAAAGCATCACACGGAGGGATGTAAATAGAACTTGAAAGTCCAATGGCGATTGAATGTATAACATTTGATGAAGCCCTCTTTGCAACGGATGTCGACATCTTAAGTGGTGTATTGAAATATTTTTGTGCGAAAGGGAAGAGTGAAGCTGAGACGAAGAACAACCTTCGCATCTTCTTCGGCTTTTTTGCGGGATCTGACAAATTGTTTGAACTCCTTTATTGGGTGGTGGAACGAGAGATCACCGACGCTTCCGATCGCAACACCGTATTCATAAGAAACTCAGTCTATAACAATATCATTCACATCTTCTTTCAACTCGACTTCGTCCCAACTGTGTATAATATCATCGATAATGTCGTCTCTAAAATCGAGAAACACAAGATCTTCGTAAAAGTCTCAGACCCGGCTGAGAAAAATTTTAAAAAAATTAAAGAGGTCGCCAAGTACTTGGTCGACCAATTGATCCTTTCAAAATTCTCACCGTTTGTTCTTGTACTATACTTTATAGTTTTATTTATTATAAAATTATTTATTTGACAATAATGGAATAGTATAATAATAATATATTGATTAATATTGTATTTTTTTAATAATAGATGGTGGTTACTATTATTGTATTATATTTATCATTCGTTTTGCTAATATCTTTGTAATTAATAATCTAATTATTAAATTAAAATATTTAATTAATTTAATTATTGAGTTGTTAAATATATAACAAAGTATTGGTTTGATATGGTTATAATTATTGTATTATATAGTATGTATTAGTATTAATTATAATAATTTTAATATATATTATTAATATAATCAATATTATCAATATTAAAAATGATAACAGCAATCACAAAACTTATCTTTCTGAGTCATTTTAGAATTGTGTAACGCGACTGTATTTAAATAATCATTTTATACTCAAATCACAATCTAATCCGATCAAATAAAAATCAACATAATGCCAAAAC